GTGGAGTCTCAGATTGAAGTCTTCCATTTTGTTTATAACTAAATATTTATATTTCGCCTACCTTTCGACAGTACAACGATATATGCATTACGTAAATAAATTTACATAGTTTGTTTATCTTATTAAATGATAACTGATGTATGTGCAATGGAGTCCGTTAAAGGGGGAAAAATTGAGAGAAATCCGTAAACTGCGTAATTACCTTAAGATTCTTTTACGATATAGGATATCTACAAATATAAAGTGAAAAATCTATAAGGACTGATATTGCACCTTTGTATCGTTACAAAATCAATCAGCCAGTAAATAGGATTGCGAGATATTGTCTGTAATAATTTCTGATGAAATCGGCTGGCAGACCATCTCTGGTCTGGATGATGGCGGATCTATTGTGTTATGTATATTAGGAAAATGTGTACCAGAGATAAATCAATAAGAAAGACTGCCAGTAATGTTCTTTATTTATATATAAATTAAATATAAAGTTCAGGAGTATTATAGACTCCACCTCGAACTTTATATACTAAATATGGTACTTCGGTAGTAGAGGCTTAATAATATATCTTATATATTCCTATACACTTTTTGAAATGTCTAATATGGTTTACTAAATTAAATTAATTCTCTTATAAATGAAATTACTAGATACGAGCCTCCGCTTGTACCACCACCACAAGATTATCACGGAGATTTCTTCAAAGATGTGGCTGATGCATTAGTGGGTGTTGGTTTAATTTGCAATAGTGAGAGCACACCTGGTGTACTCACGTTGGACAAAGATTATAACAACATGTCAAAATTCTTAAATCGTATTCTCGGTATGCCGGTTGACCTGCAAAATCGGCTATTTAAATATTTCACCGACACTCTGAACGCAATTGTCACGCAAGCAAAAAAGACCGGTCGTTTCGACATGGGTATTCTCGATCTTGGTACATCTGGAGAAAATGTAAAAAGGGTTAAGTTATACCGTTTCTTACGGAAACACGCTACTGGAAAGGCACCAACCGAGCTTCACGTTGTTCATGTTGAACGTGGAATGAATTGGGCAGAGGCAATGGACAAATGTTCCGAATTGACGGGATCCAAAGAGGGCTTCTATTTAAGCCACCAGATCCGTAATGGAAAGCAAACAGCTATTCTTGCTGTTATAGTAGATACCGGAAAGAAAAAATCTGAGAGTAAAAAAGATCAGCTGTATATGGTTTATAGGTAGAGTGTCTTTTTCGTAATAAATATAAGATAATGATTAACAATTTAAAATTGATTATATTGTGATTCATGTTTTTGTTTAAAGACCCAATACAGGATTGCAATTACGACAAGAAACTCTAGGTGAATTAGAGAAAAAATATAAGAAGGTATCATCAGACGAAGCAGAACCACATTGGTCACAACAATATGAAGCGTCTGTAGATACATGTTCACATGCCTACTGGCGCGGCAATTGTAAAAACGCGACTCTTGGTATGGATTGCGAGGTTGGACTTCGAAGACGTTCCTATAACGTATTATCAGGTTCGGTGTTGAGCGTTTGGAGTCGAGTTGAAAGCATTCTTGCAACACGTTCTGCTCATAACTCTAAAATGCAAGTAGTACGCTTACGAACTGGTAAGTTTTATGAAAAGTTTAAATATAATTCTATAAAACTATTGCACATGTTATAGAAACTGTTAAAAGTTTTGTTTATTTTTTCTTGTAGATGAAGGCTTAAAAATAGTCGGTACTCTTATTCCAAAGTCCTGTATGGAAATATTGCGTCAAGAATTATCATCAGATGCTGAGAATACCGAAGAACTTACATTTTGAACAATTCGTTAATTCGCTTTTATAGGTAAGTAACTGACATAACAAACAAAGCGAGCTTTATTTGTTGGAAAGGAATAGCGAGTTCGTAATTTTGATGTGTTATCAAGAACAGGACCAAAAGAAGCGATTAATGTGAATATAACATGGACAAATCCCTCTTCCTAAGTCTTGCGATAAAATTCAGTAAAGAAGAGGGTGCACCTGCGAATGCACGACAAAGATATGAATTAATTAAGTCATTTAATAAGGATATATCAGGTAGATACGAAAGCCTGATTTGGTAATGACAAGTGAAACGAACATGTGGAACGAACATTTACAACCTGCGAATTGTATGAGATCCAAACTTATCTTTTCGTTAGGCTTTGACGTCGCTATGTTAAACGTTTTAATGAAGTATGTTTTGCTCGCCCGTTGTATCTCCTCGATTATACATAAAACATTACTATATAGCTAGAATATTTTCTTTCTTTTTTTGTAATTTTACTCATAAATTGCGCTCGCGTTTAATTGGACGTTAGTGGGAATGAATTTTTTTTTTATTTTTCATTTATCTTCTTTTCACATCGCTGAGTAAAAAAAAATATTAAATCCATAATTTTGTAATGCAATTATAGTTGCATACGAAGTACATTCGCCATTTGTTTTATATGTCAAAGAAAAATATAATTGTTTTGTAAAAGGCATCGCTGCATATAGAACAACTTTAGTTTTGTTCTTTTCTCTCTCTCTCTCTCTTTCGATCGCATTACGCTGTAGAAGAATTTTAATCAATACAATAGTTTTATGTTGCATCTACCACAAAGAATTATATCGAATGTGGAGAGAAGCTAGAATCTTATGTGGAAACGTAAAATTAAACCATAGCGATGCATACGACTTAAGGAACCGTATTTTACGCTAATCATATCTTGAAGAACAAATTTAAACATTCAGTGAGAATCGATTATGTAAAATCTTAGTGATAGGTAAAGGTTTACTTACTTGCATATATATTGTGACTGATTAATGGAACGGAAGTAAGTAAAACCCGGAAGAAAAGATATAAAAAATATTAGTACTATATCAGAAAAGAAGAGCAACAAACAATCGATTCTCGTTGGAATATACACAGATGTATACGCAACTGTTCCAGTTCTTTTCTTTAATTGTTAAATTGATCGGATAGTTAATTAATGACCATTGCTACTGCTACCATTAATATTATTACACTACTGCTACTATTATTAGTACTAGTATCCCACTGCTACTATTACTATAGGGAATAGAGGGACGAGGTAATAAATGAGAATTCTTCTATCTCGTAAATTTTATGTTAAAACTAACATTTATTATTTATGAAGTAAGTGCCAAGGTAGTGTAATCCTTGTTCGTTTTTATAAAAATTCGCCTTTCGTACTATATTTAACAAAATAAATTTTTTTATTTTTTATTATATTAGACACAGTGATATAGTAATATCAGTTACAATAATAGATGCATAATTTAAAAAGTTGCGCTTGGGAAACAATGTATAACCTCGTCTCCCAATAATTCTCCATTTATAAGTAGTCAACATTAAAACAAAAGTTAGATTCAAACGATACGTACGGCAGTATATTTATATTCAAAAATCATAAAGTAGTCATGCGATTCGCATGTATATTGAGTAGATGTCTGTTGTTTATTTGTACGCCTGGACGAGTTTTGATAGCTAAGTAAGATGGATCTCACAATCTATCATCTATGACAGAAAACAGTAATAAAACAAGAAAAATAGAAGATCCAATTTAAAAAAGAATGGTAAATAGGGTATCTTGGAAAAATCGATAGAATTAATTTTAAGTAGAATCTCCATTAGAAAAATAAAAAAGCAAAAAAAAAAAAGAAGAATTACAAGGATATGCGAATTAGCGTTTACGTGTTTAGACGCTATGAAGCGAGAAGTTGTCTTGTGAATATTTTCTTGTCTTCGTAACTATTCTTACTACAAAGAATCGTTCTGATGTAATCCATGAGAAAAAAATAACACTACTACGTTTCTACGATTCACTACATATTGCATTTATAAACAAGAATAAAAAAATGGAAAGAAGAAAAGAAAGAATATAAAAAAATACACATTTATATAACGTAGATAAGAAAGTACTCTTATTACGTTGTATTATTTTCCATGATATTAGTAGGATACAGGATACCTAATAAATTATTTATTAATGTACATTAAAGAGATAATTCGTTCGTTGTGTTTATTTTTCTCAACATTTGTGTAATTACTTTTACGCGAGGAATATTCATTTCATACAAAGCTGCAACATTTATATTGATATATTATATATATTCGTTCTTTTATAAACGTGGAGATTCTTAATTAAAACTATCGGAGACGAAACTATCAGCTAACAAACAAAAAAAGAAAAATTGAAAGTGATTTGTGATTATAATAAAACATTTTCAAAGTGTAAATATATATATTAAAGGATATAAAGCAGTTTTAGGTAATACGTGTACCTTATATTCGATATTTTTACAATTCTTGCTTGAGTTCCTATTACAAACAAGGTGTAATTTATAAATGTGGTATCTAGTATACGTGGAAACCAGGCACTGCACTTGCCGAAAGTAACGTGATTCCTTTCGTAACGTGCTGTGTTTTGTGAACTCGAATGAGAGATTCTAATGATGCTATACATATATACATATATATATGTACGTGCGTGTGTATATATACATGTATAAATGTTTTCTGTGTAAGTAAAATTAATACTTCTTAGTAAAAAATGAAGAAGAAAAAGTGTGATGTTAACGAAAATCGATCTTTCGAATGATAATCCCGAAACCACACACTTATTAATTACAATATTTGCATTAATGTTATTTTCCTCCATTGTTGTATAATTTCTTAAGTAGTAATCATCGTGCATCTTTGTCTCCATTGCTTTGAAACATATATGTTGTACCGCGAGAAAGCATCCGAGAATACATTGATTCATAGGCGTATGAAATACAATGGATTTCCATAAGAAAGAAATATGTAAATTGTTTCCTCTTGCAAGCACAGACTCAGTACTTGCATCGAATTATACCAATAGTAAATAAAAAGTCTTATATAAACATCAGTCTACTGCACTGCGAATAGTATATCATGGTTTTGTTTTTTTTAACAACAGAACAGTAGCAAAATTTTGAAGATTTGATTTTTTATACATGCATGGTATTTTACAGTCTTTACTCAAAGGCATAAAGCAAAGATGTGTCCAAAATAACACTTGTATAGTCGTGTATATAGGAAATTGAAACAAAAAATACAAATGATTCTGTAAATACATGAAATCTTCACCATTTGTTTTAATGTTTATTAAATTAACATATTGATCGTGGACTTAATCTTTTTACATAGTATCACCCACGACTTATGTTACGTATAAAAAAACTGTACAACAGTTCAACATTTTCTTCTTTCTTTTCTTTTACTTTCTTAACTCGCAAGAACGAAAAAACATTCATTCGACCATTCAGAGTTCACTTACGCATGTTCACATCACGCACAATCACGCATTCTTCAATTTCAGTTCTCTATCCGTTTATATATCGTAAATACATCACCAAATACCTCATCTACATATATGCATTCCCATTGATGTATCACTAACGGGTGGAAGTACTTTGGTATTGGATATTATTTAGTGAAAAGCATAGAGCAGCATGAGAAACGTGCAAAATCCGATAATAAGGCCGACTATAAGTGAATCGCGTCTTTTACGTAAATTTATCCTTTGCACTAGACTATTTACTGCTGGAAATCGATTTGAAATGTCATTTAGCCTGGTCTGTATACGTTTGAACGTTTGCCTTTGAGTCATCAGATGATCTCGCGTTTCCATTGCTATGCTTATTTGATCATTAAGCAAATGATCAGAACTGAAAAAAAATTATCTGATTTTATATTGGCAAAAAAATGTAACAAACAGGGCACTTTATACTATGTATAACTCAGCATAAATCAAAATAAAACGAACAGTATAGCAAACAATACTTACTTGTGAATGTGTTGATTTTCTTTCATATACATTTCCCGACGATTTAGTCCAGTTACACTTTTGTAGTTACTGTTCCATAGAAGATTTATAAACTCTTAATCAAATATTTAAAAGGAAATATAATTTAAAGTAATAAAGTAATAGGTATACGTACTCGATTTCTTTACGGACACTACCTAATAAATCTTCTCTATCCCTTCTTGCATCAAAATTATTTCTAATTTTGTTGAATTCCAATTTATAATCTTTCAATATGTCTTTGTGGCGTTGCATTGTATGCAACATTGCAGCACCGTTTGGTTGTAATTTGCTCATTCTCTCATTTATAGAAAACAACTGTAACAAACAAAAACTATTTAATTTAAATTTTTGAAATGTAATATTGATATTTTAAACGTACCTTAGCCAATAATGCTTCTATTTCAGAGGCCATATTATCAAAGACATGTTCTTCATCTAAAAGAGGTTCTTCATCTCCATTAACAAGCTTGGATCCACTATTGACACCAAGCTTACTGAATGCTACCAGTTTTGCATCAATCTCATTTTCCAGGTGTCTTGCTTGCCTTCTAAGATCTAAAATTAAATATGAAGTTAATAAAAATACAGATTTTAGTAAATTATACATTAATATTAATAAAAATATATAAATAATTAATAGGTAAAGCATTATATTTAAATATAAATTATATATATATATATGTCGTAGTTAATTTAAAAAACAAACTTTTTTGGTAAAAGTATTAGTAGAAATTAATTTATATATCATCCGTTAAAAAAGATGACTAACTAGTTTTCACGGTAAGGTTAAGAATAGTAACAACAAAATTTGTACGCGAATTATCATAGAATTATTTATTATAAAGTAATTTTATTTCATGAACCTACCATGTAAAATCAATTATTATCTTATAATAATACGTATAAATAATGAGATCTTTTAAATTGAACTCTTTATGTTTCAAGTGAGCTTTGATGTAACAAAAGTGAAATATTTGTAATATAACTTCTGGAAGCAAAAATGTTTCACTTCTATTAGATTTGAATAAGATTGTATAAAATAATCTCATATTTCTTTGTTAGATGCAACGAAAAAAATGAAATTAATAGAAGAATGACATATGTCAAAACAAGCCGTTATATTACTTGTTGCAAGGCTTTTTGGAATACAAGAAGCCATGACAAGACCGTAAAAAAATAAAGAACGAGAGCAATATTTTCATCAGATGAACTCTACCTTCCCAATCGACAGCATCTAATGCGTTAGCCATTTGTTGTTCGCAAATTACGAACACGGTACTTTCTTTACTATGATATATGAATCCCTGCTGCTACACACGACATAACATAATCCCACGGAACAGATGATGGCAGTAGATACTTATACATAGCGCTCTAAATTCTAACTATGTATATATACGTGGCGGAAAATTCGAATCACTTCTAATATGATTCGATACTTAAAACTTTTATAAGTCTTGATAAATATTAAATTTTGAGTTTTGATGAATCTTTCAGATTTTTTAATTTTCGATAAGTCTTGAAAATATTGTATCTTCAATATCATGTATATTTATTATTGTACTCAGTACCAGTATCTTCAATATTTTATGTATATAATCTTTTATATTATATTCTAATTTATATATTTATATAATAAATTTTATATAAAATATTGCATATGCATCAAGCTTTCGAAAGATTCTAAGACTTCCAAAACTTTTCAAGCTCTTTCGAGGCTTTTCAAAACTTACCGAAACTTTAGAAACTTGAAATTTTTAAAAACTTTCAAGAATTTTAAGTATTAGATCATGTTTGAGGCAACTCAGATTTTCATAGCACCGAAAAGCTTCGAATTTGAGACTCATCTCCATATGTATTTATATATAGATATGTTTAGTCACATTTACATAAAAAACGAAATATGTTAGATGAATGACAACAAGTATATAAACCTTAATATATCTATAATAAATCGCACAGTTGAGATTTTCATGAAAATTATTCGTACACGATATAACATAGTTTTATATCAACATTACACTTGTGCAATTGCAGTTAGGTAAAAGTAGTAGTGAGTAAACCGGTTTTCGGCGGGATCTCGATAGTTACGATGCTACTACCTATGCCATACTATCCTGATATTATTGTCTAGGAGCAAGAGCTAGGAGTGAGATGATAATAATTCGAAATTCTTCGATATTATACAATTCGATTTGAACTCTCAAATAAATAATGATTTCATATGGGAATCTTATACAGTGAACAATCGCGTACAAGATTTATATACAAATTATACATAAATATAAAAAATATAAAATATAAAATTTAATAGAAGAGAACGATAGAAAATTTCATTCGCTATAACCCCCTTTTCTATTCGAGAAATTCCAAATGAATTTTAACGTTGACAGTAAGTATGTACTATGTGCATGTATGTACATATACTATATACATTCAATCTATTCTCCTGTTAATGAACAATATCTGTTTTACCGTGCTCGTGAGATAAGGATAGGAAGTCAGTTCCTATTCTCGCCATTTGTTACGTGGCGGTGCTCGCATCCTGAAAATATAACTTTAATTCCTACAGCTTAGGGTCATATGCTCATGCTGGTGCGGGCATAACAATCCACTACAGTTATATCAATAGATGATTGTTGTGGCATTTCCTACGATTTGTACTGTTCAATTTCATATAAAAACATTCGATAAATATTATATGTAATATTTTAAATTGTCATACGTGTCCTTTAAGTATATATATCACGGTGTCATGTATTTTACAAGATTCTTTCTTATAAAAATGCAACGTGCAATAATAAAAATTTTTGAATTAATTACATATGTTAATGAATCAATTAGATTTTTTAAACACAGTATATATTTGTTTACTCATTTATTTGAGGTTAAGGATCTCATTTTTTAGTATAATTGGTATGTACATGTACGTCAAATCTATTCCCCCGTTAATGAACAAAATCTGTTTTACCATGTTCACGGGATAAGTAGGTCAGTTTTTATTCTCGCCATTTGTCGCGTGGCGGTGCTCGTGTCCTGGAGATATAATTTTAATTCCTCCATAAGGGCCATCGCAGCACGAATGGGATTAACATCTTCTTCAATCACGATATCCGGAAAATATTCTTTTACAAGCCGTAATATTATATTCATTTGGTGGCTAGATCTATAAATACATGTATATATAACTCTTGAGGTAAATGAAAATAGCTAAGAAATTAATAATAAAAATTTTAAAAAGTTGGATATATTTCTATTTGTAACAAAGCCACATTTCATGAAATACAGTATATGTTATATCAATACTTAATTTAATTATTACGTTAATGCTTACGATACAGAAATACACACGAAAATTTTTCTGCGGAGACCTGTTTGTATTGAAAACTAAGCGACGAAAGGATTTTGGAATTAATTTATATGTTTATACTTAATTATGAAGGATGACATATTATCAAAGAATTTATATATTATTATTAGGAAAAATACCCTTAATAATTAATTTCCAGTAAAAATTCTGAAAAAATTGATTTGTTGAAAATTAACTTTTGTCAACAATCTGAAACGAAATTTATTAAATTCAATCGATTTTTATTTTATTTATACATTTTTATTGAAATTATTTTTATGTTCTTTATTGTATTTTAACCGAAGGAAGATTATATAAAAAATCTCCAAAATCATTCTCCAAAAATGCTCATTGTTCGTTTTCAATGTCTGATTTTCACAATGAAATATTTCAAGAATAATAACTTACCGCAAAATAATTTTAGTATTTTCATAATGTACGTTAAAACTAATCGATATATGTAATATGTTGAACCTCATGAAACGTAGCTTTGCTAGGAACATTACAAAATTATTTAATCATTTATTAAATCTTATTTTAATTATTTTTGAAATATAACATTCTCAAAAGAACATTATCTTCACCTTGCAGAAATTCTTAATTTTTCCTGTGTTTTGGTGTTAGGCAATACTTCAATCAAACAGTGCATCAGGCATCCAGTTGTCTGTACAATATAAGTATTTGTATAGATTTCTTGAAAAGACTTTTCTTTCAAGAACTTCAGAAATTCTTTATTTCTTTCAGGAACTCCTTTTATTTGTGCATTTATATTTTTTTCCACCGATGTACTTCTTAATGCTAAAATCATTGGCACGATATCATTCGTTCCTATTGCGCTAACATGGTTTCCAGCGGTTAGAAATTTGACTTGGTAACTATCGTCGATAGTGTCTTCGATTGTAAGACGGATAATAGATACTGGAACTTGATATTCTGTTTCTTCGACTTCGTAGGCGATTGTACCATACACCTCACAGAAGTGTTTTTTATCGAATTTTGGTAAATCGAGAACGACGGTAGCAACGACTTTGCTAGATGGCAGAATCTCATTGATTGGGCATCCAAATGTTTCGTTCTCCAAATTCCAAATCATCGACATACCACAAAGATCGTCGTCCTCTGCGAGAGACATGTAAACCTGGGGATTTCTTATTTTCCTGAAAAGAAGTTGAATATCTCAAGAAGCCAAATTAGAGAGGTAATATACAGTAAAATTCCATTTGTTGGAAATTTTCATATTCTATTCATATCACTTCTTATATTAATTATTTCACACTTGTCCCCAATGAATTTAGATAAGTGGAGTTCTACTGTAATGCTCACTTCCACTAAGTAGTGGACAATGGCTAGTTACCAAGTAATGTAGATAACATTATAATACTGTTTTATCGATATTTATACGAAATTAGAAATATGGAGTGTACAAACTGACATGGAATATGTAATCGAGATAGTAAAATTTCCTTCTTTTAGTATTTATTATTTCTTAACTCGTATCATTCTGTAATATGAACTGTGTATATGCTTTTATAATGTAAGAAATAGAATAATGAAAAAAGGATTACAATTTTTCATTTCATTATTGTTAAGATTCCCATCCTATCTCATATTTATTTTCTACTACTATCTTCATTACAGATACATCCAACCTATTCAAATAACACGCCTGTCTAGGCGTTGACATTATTTTATGACACTTGAAAGAACTTTATAGAAGTGTTACTTATAAATTCTATCAGGGTTCTAAGCATATTTGGTTGATAGCAGTATTCTAGCGAAAGTGTTACTTTAAAGTAGCTTCGATATATAGAGGGTCAAACGGAAACGTTTGCATAGCTATTTGCTATTTAATATTGCTCGATAATGAAAGCAATATTCGAAGGAGGATAGATAGATAATTAAAGGGAGTCTGTATAGTGTCGCAAAGGGTAACGAAGACAGTTTCAATGTGGTGCGCATACGCAGAGGTGATCATGAAGTAAATCGACCCGCGAAAACGTCGGCCAATCAGGAAGCGAGTACGGCTCAGTTAGTAGCAGACGACGCATGTATGGAAGTATACGGAACAGTGTATGTCTCTTCAGTCTTCAGTAATCTGCAGGATGCCGCCGTGATCATGTGGTGTCTATAGTTTTCGTTCAATCAGTCAGTTTTGTCACGTGTTTGGCATCTCTAAAAGTATATTAATTGTATTTCGACTCGCGGTCAGTTTCGACCAGGTATACACAAAGGATCGAATCCAGTGGAAGAATCGAAGAGGTGAAGGTTGGATTTCTTGCAGGGGGTACGATAGATGCATCGTTGAATCTTGATATCGGGGCATATATGTCCACGCCAAGTACGTATTAGAGCAAATAAATATAAAAATGTATCGAAAGGGGGCAAAATATACGATTATTTGTGTAAAGGAATGAGTTAGGTCACGAAAAAGAAGGGATGTCCTGTGACCCATTGACCTAGGAAACGTATGCATCGACTGCATTGCTACTTAAAAAGTTCATTGCTCGCGTCTTTCATCCATTTTGACATTTGATATTATCTGATCACTCTGTGGAACAGAATTTGAAAAATAATTCTTTGATAAAAAAGAATTGCCATATTTACTGTTTATTTTAAAAATTAGTTTAAGTAAAAAGTGGAAAAGTTTGGATAAATGAAAAATGATTTTAGTAAAGTAGTCATACATCTATATACGTAATTCTGATTTCTGGGTATTATAATTTCGAAAATATTTGCAAGTTATCATGTAATACTTTACTATAATAGAATACCAAAGTTCAAAATTGGACTAAAACTATTTATCCAAATTTTGAATAAATAAAAAAATATACAAAGGACATTATTTTGTTTTTTTTTTTGTAATTTGTAATTGCTTGTCGCTTTTTTCTCAGATGTGACTTGTTTAGCGATTAGATATATAATTAATAACATATGAACGATAATTAGCAAATAAAAAATCCTTAATGACAAGATGTAACGATAATTACTGTAATGATTTTACCGAAGGTGTGTCTGACACTCATTTGACAGATAAATTTATAAAAAAAGATGTAAAATTAAATTGATAAAAAGAAACGTTGGATTATGCGCGCGTGTGCATTTCGCGTTTCCATGCAAACTTTTCGATAGAGCGCCATCGATCCTTGAATCTGACGTTCCACTTTATAAGTATTGCACGTATTATTCTGCAATGGCCTTGGTACTTGGTTGAATGAGCAAACATATATATATATATTTTTTCTAATAATATTATATAGTAATGACCAATTTTTTAAAGTAAAGACCGATCGATATTAATCTACGAAATATCGTTTCATATCGAACAGTGTATACCAAATGCAATAGATACTCGTTTGATGATTCCATGAAAGAATCAATATTGTATGTATATCGTTAATATACAAGGAATTATAGTATCGATATTACGATAATGTTACTTATGTATGATTAGAGTATTGTTATCGAGTTAAAAAGTGCAAATCGATAAGACATATGTAAATTGCTTCTTGTACTATGATTAGTATAGGTACTGTTAACTAGTTTTCAATTAGTAAACAACATAAACCACATAGCATTTTGTACATGGTAAAGATATTTTCATCTTAGTTCTAACTTCAAATAAAATGTAATTTTATACTATTGTTACACTTTAAGGTTTCTAACAGGTTCGTAACATGCATCCTTACGAAACAAACACGTGACTATTGATGACTGGTGATTACATGATGTACATACATACATTGTATCCCAATAAACTCTTTACGAAACATTACTTATTTGTATTTTTTCCATTATATTGCGCATAATTCATGTTTGTAATGGAATAATTCAAATTTCTAATGGCTAAGTATTTATAGCGTCATTAACAAATATAGGACCAATTCCATTATTTTAGGAAGTTTATTTAAAACATTTTAGAGAAAAAAGGATGCAATTAAGTTTGTTATCAATAATTCAGGGTACGCGACATAGGTTTCTGAAACATAGATCTTTTACAAAATAAACACAAAAAGAATCTTCAATTTTTGTTATAATCTCTCATAAACCACGAGTGATGCTGCATGAATGACAAACCATCTGCCATTGTTATCTAACCTCAATATTCACCTGTCATACCTAGCCAAAAGTAAGCCTAACTATAATAACGCTGTAAATATTGATAATTCTAATACACACAACATGTTAAATTTCTATAAAACATCGTATATTTGATTAATTCAATTTTTTCTAGAAAAATCTATTAACCCCATAACAGTACATTTTTGTGTAAATTCATACCTTTTAAGAATATTATTGAAAGAATAGAACTTTGATAGAAAATTGTTTTATCTACCAAGCATTATAGAAAACACCATACTTTGGATATTTTATATATGTTTTCGTATTATGTGCATTGTGTGCAATTTTGTAGTTTCAAATGTCCTATAAACGCATAAAAATCCACAGTCTAATCATTATTTATTCCCCGTCAAGGTATTGTTTATCTTTTTTATTGATCGTATCGATTAGTGAGAATACAATAGAAATCTATTCGGTTTTGTTTTTCAGTTCGTTATGAGTATCGAAGAAAGATCGTACATCGTGAGAAGATGACACTACGACGATATGCGTTCGCGACGATTAGGCGAACGATGCTGGCTGCTGGTATCTTGATGTTGTTGGTGTTTGCTCTATCGAACCAGGATGCCGGTAACAGTGCGCAGCAAGGGCTTTTGTTGGAGGTGAGTGACGATCTTTTATCTGACACTGGCCAAGGATTTCTTTTGTTCTTAGCGGAAGGCTTTCTGTGCACGCGCGCGCGCTCGTTCGGCATTTGGACCACACCGGAAAATTAGGCGGATCACTTTCTAAGGAACAATTACTTTAGAAGAGCTATAGAAGACTCGTTCTCGTTAGAAACGCGGCCGAAAACTATCCCTTTGTTCGAAACACTGAAAGATTGTTCTAGTTCCTTCCCTTTTTTTAAAAGAATAGTTCTTTCATTTGAGTTGTTTGAAATAACCTTAAAAGTTAGATGAGACAGATGGTGTTATTGAAAAATTACATTTACAATACTTTATGAGATTAGATGTGCATTATTATTTAAAGTAATTCGGATTTGTTTGTCTTTGACGAAATATCGTCCAGTACTTCGTCATTGATTGGTCCAAAAAATTTGGACGTTTCCATATTCATCTTTTACTTTACTAGTAGCTATTATAATAATTCGTTGTACATTTCAATAAGACATATTTACTTCAATAATGTTTATACACATAATGTTTATACACATAAAAAGGTGTATAAAATTCCTCTCTAGTGTAGGTGACACTTTGGCTTCCTCAAACAGTGAAGTCTTTATAATCTATTCAACGTGCGATTACGCCTGACTAATGACTATACACAAGCCAATGTACTGTGTCCATTATACTCATATCCCTTCAGTCATGTACATTAGGCCGTTTTAATTAATTTTTGCTAATGCGCACTTTTTTATCTATATCAAAAAAACAAATGATTTCGTAAGGAGATTAGGTGTATTTATCCACTTTTCTCATGTTACTAAGATATATCCTTAAGCGTTTTATAGTTATATAATCCGTTATTCTATTCGCATGATGCGGTGGGAAGAGAAAGGCCAATGCGTTGTTTACTCTCTCGCTTTACCACATCTTTTTTCGCCCTTCTAATTCATTCAATATTATATGTTCGATATTGTAATAAAAAATTTCACCAATTGTATATAACGAAGTACATACATATATACATTTTCTTTGTCATCATAAAATCGGACAATTTTAATGTTTAAACTTCGGGCTGTTCAATTTATCTCCAATTTTTTCAATAAATTTTGATCGAAACATTACATAGGGGTCCTCGTATTATTATAATCGTTAATTCACTATTTTAAGATTCTAGAAATTTTTGCAAATAATTTCATCAGCTTATTGTCATATACATAAGATTTCTATTTTGTACAAGTACGTAGTCTGCAGTCTTATTTTGTATAACCACAAGCCTGGGTCCACCATGATCTGTGCAAAACCAACAATCAGTAGGTATCCTGATACTTGTGAACAGAAATATCACGTATATAATTGAGAACTTTTCAAACTTGACTTTCTAAGAAATGAAACCTTCAATGTAATTTTATTACTCTTAATTTTTCTCTTGATTTCAATCTCAAGTAAATCCTTCTCATTTGTACCACAAAGTTAGGCTCACGATGTATAAACTTTATTTGATATCTTATTTTGATTCACAGAATCGTCCTGACTTCATTTGTACCACGAATTTAGGCTCATGGGTGTATAAGTTATATTTGGTGTCTTATTTCGAGCCACAGAATCTTCCAGACTTCACCTGTACCAGGAATTTAGGTTCACGGTGTGTAAGAAAAAAAGTATTGTCTTATCGTATCCATTGTGACGATGTCATGCATCGTGACTTCTTCTCACGGTTAGAAGGAAGAATCCTTTTCTTGCGGTACTGCGCAAATGTAGGGTGACCTAAGTGCAACATGTTCCAAGAAAAGATCGTTGCCTTTGTTTTTTACCCCACGGTGGAGAGGTTACATCGAAAAGCGGTCTCCTTACGTAAAGCAAAGTCAACGTAGTAGATTGGCAGACTTCCAGGAGCGCAATGCGGCACACAAATGCAGTTCTGCCTACAGTCGTCCGATACCACCCCTTTAAGCATGCAAAGGGTGGTTACAGTTACCCCTCAATCTCGACAATTACTCTACCGACATAAATCGATCTATCGCCGATACAGATGATTGTCGTTTTATTTGACGTTTTTCTAACCGTTCGAGAATATCCGCCGACGGGAAATAAAAATCGATAGTTTCATTTGTCACCACTTCTTACTAGTGCTACATGGCAGTTGATTTTAGATGATACCTTCTGTAGTCTTTACTTTGATATAGAATTTTTTCAGTTTTTATAAGTCGAAGATAGAGACGTTTTATCATTTTAATTTTAATAATTTGCATTAAAATTAATTACATATTACGTTTTATTTAATTATATCTAGTCAACTTAATAATTTAATAGCTTTTTAGTGTGATATTTTTTATGGTTTGAACAGAAACCTTTTACCATTTGAATCTTAATCTGCGTAAAAATTTTAATTAGAGTGATTTTGATTATTCTGCTCAATTTGATTGATCAAATATTTTTTACGATTTGAATATAGATTTTCTACCATTCTAATTTTAATGTGTATTAAAATTTTAATTTTAATAATTGAGTATTTATTCCACTGTATACTTGATCAATTTAATAATTAAATGCCTTTTACAATTTTAATCTTAAGCCACCATTAAAATTCGAATCACTGTGCTATATATCTAATACTTGATCTTCGATACTCATTGTTTCTGTTCTTTAATTTGTTCATATTGTGCGTAATTACAGTTTTCTAATTTAATTTAAATTTGATAAGCTAATAATCTTCATGGATAAACCAATTTCTAGCGACATAACAAAATATTAATAAGATACGATAACAACGTAATGAAATAAAACAGAAGCTTAAAAATGTACGAACACTGGTATATACAAATGTGATTTCCAAGTCACGTGACATCCTATACAGGGCTTAAATCTATCTCTCGAGGAATATCTGAAAAATTTCCGGTACATCCTGTGCATCGTACGATAACAAAGGCAAACATGGCTTTTAACTTTAACGGCGAAAGGAACTGTCTTTACATGCGTTCATGAGAAACGTAGATAAAGATAGTTTTTACCGGACGACGCGACGTAAAGTATTTGTCCGGTTCCATTGATCTTCTGCGCAAAAGTGCGACGATCCGCATACAAGCACGGGAATTGAGTTCTAGTGAGAAAACGTAACCGAAGGAAGTTATACAACTGGATAGAAGAGCTACGGAAGGGTCTTACATAATGTGTGCGTTACCCGTGCACATATGGTGGTCCACTAGAACCGGTCCACCTTAATACTTTCCGTGTTTGACCAGTGATGAACAAGAAAAATATATTAGCTGAAAATAGACCAAGCAAACTGAGAAGAGGTTCCAAGGAACCTTGGTCCAGGATTGATCTTTTAAAATCCAATACCTTACAATGATCTCAACCGCAAATTACAATAAAGTTTTCGTTTCTTGAGATTTTCTGTAAATTGTAGATACTTTTTTAAAATTTATATATTATCTTTAATGGAGATATTTAGAGATCTAAAAATATTTAGATTTCTCTAAATCACAAAATACGTAAATTCATTTTGAATATGTGTAAGATATTAAATATCCCAAAGTATCTAGATTTCTAATTTACATACGAATACTTGGACTATTTCCATCCAAAAATTTCGTTAGTTGTTTCTAAGTGAAGTCTAGACACTTTCTATTTTTTCTTCAGTAATAATTTTTAGATCTTCTGGCTTTTATGTTTTTGGTTGGGATTGCGATGTTGTGATGAAGTTTAATATATTCTCTGTGGTATCTTAATTATAAACGTAGTTCTAGGTATTTTCAAGGCATTCTGTTTATATATAGTTTCCTTCATTGAGATTGTACGCTATAGGAAACACTGAAATCTATACTTTGATCTTTCCTTTAATCTTTCAATTACAATTATAGCTTCTTTATATTTCTTAATAACAGTATCTACCCTATGTAATTTTCCACTAATGACGAACACCTTGATATTTTCTTTCTCTTTGATTCTTCAACTGTGAGCGTAGCTGTAGAAACTGTTTAAAAATTCTTTTGTGTTCTTCGATTGAAATTGTATACTATTAAGTACTTCCATATTCTTTTCTCTTTCATTTTTTAATTAAGACAGAGGTTTCAGAAATTTTTTCTTTTGCAAATTTATTTGCTTTCTTTGATCGGTTGCACGTCATAGGTAATTCCACACTGAAGAGTTGATGTCACTATGTAGATTTCTTTTTGAAGGAGAAGTTAGAAGATATTCACCGTGAGACACTCGTGAGCTAGCAAGTGGCGTGTTGCAATCACTCTTAATGTCATTGGAATAGCGAATTATTCTCCCAGCGCGGTGTGTCCCTCGTTACAAGTGCGGCAAACTAGATAAGCATCGTTTCAGGCAATTTATTATGAAACTCACGTCGAGGGAACAAAAAATTATTTACCGCTTCCGTAAATCATCTTGCATCGATCTTTAAATTACGTTGTACACGGAAACCATTATTGAATGAAGTCACTGTGATATTTAGCTGTAATATTCCCATAATTGAGCAGAACAGGATTTTTTTAAATAAAATGTTACTTGCATAATTCAAGGAAAAGATGATAAAAAGGACATTGTTGTAAAATCATTGATTTTTATAATTAAAAAGATACTAATTAGAATTTTTGTAAATAATAATTATTTCTACGATTAAAAAAAGACGTTGAAGAGAATTTTTTTTAATAATAATGGTTGCCATAATATAAGAAAAATTACCGATAATTGTTTTCAACATCAGTCGTCTCCATAATATAAAGAAAGTAATATAAATAAATAGGAATTGCAATTGGTAAAAATTAATAGATACATAAAACTACTTGTTATTGGAAAAGTTAAAAAAGAAGTTATTGGAAAAGTTAAAAAAAGAAGTTATTGGAAAAATCGGCAATTGTAGAATGCGTATATCTCGTTGGATAGTCTACAGGTTAAATAAAGGAGCAATTTCTTTAATAGTAAAACCGACTACTATTGATATTCAAATATTTACAGCCGAAAGAATTATTTACGATCCATAAAGGAAATATATTTATCTTATTTAAAAAAGTAAAAGTGATTTCCTTTTCTATTCCAGAAGTGTCTTATGATTTCTTTGAAACAGCCTTTTTTCTAATTTCATAAACAAATTCAAGTGGAACATCTTAGGTTTGGTTTCAAAATTAGGATAAGAATAATTTTAGGTGCAGGCGAGTTAATTAAAAATTAATCCTTTGTCTTTTGTTACTAACAAAAATAGCATTAATGATTTATGTAATGTTTAAGAAAGCGTCGTTAATCAAATCAATCGATACATAGACAAATTGGACTCATTTAAAAATCACTTGCTTTGTTTAAGCAATTAATCATTTAAAATTAATTAATCGATAATATTGCTATCTTGGGATTCTTTATCGATATAATCATTAGATTAAAAATGTATTTTTTTTTAAGTTTTTAATATTGACATAAAATGCAAAGTTTCGAAATTGTAAAAACAATATTTTCACGTCATATAACATGCTGTATTACAACAGTATAATTTTCTGATCAATGTAATAAGGTTGTACTATAGACTTGTAGCTTAAAGACTAGCTTAAATACATGTTAGGTACTTGACTTAAATATACAGTAGATACATCTAACAATGCACAGACACAACTGGCTTCTAACTTAAAAGGTATACTTATTCTAAGATTATTAATTTTGAGAAATTTATCAATAATCGTGATTTTTAATCTTTAATCGTTGGATCCTTTAAAAACATACTGAATATCGTGATTCCTATTTATATTTTCTTAACTGATTTAGCGTACTTTTCCTAGAGATTAAGCAGGTTAGACCATAAAACATGTTCCAAATCATGGTACATATTCACGGTTATACGATGAATCACGAGTTATATTCAGATTATAATTTCCTGATCTAACTTTGTTGATGCAAACCATCTGAAACTGAGGATCCCTATATTAAATTATAAAAATAACACTATCATCGAACGAAAACATCTTAGAATGTGAATAATCATTTTCAAAGTAAAAGACTTTCTTGCTTAAATCTTACCTATAAAAACCTTTTCCATTAAGGTCTTTTGCTTTGCCTATACTTATAGACCTAATTGTCTATAAATGCAAAAGGAGTTAAAATTACAATTTCAAGAGTTGAAGATACTTTACAAATCTCTTTATATCTCCTACTTATTCCTAACTCAACTCTAAATCCTTTCAGAAACTTCACTTTTGCTGAAACTGTCTTTGAATGTTCCAGAAGTCTGCATTATTAGACTTTTGGCAACGCACAGTACACTGTTCAAAATAATTAGAGGATGGCCACTATGAACGATTTTCTTTTATCAAACAAGTAAACGTACCGTGATTGATCGGTATCGTATTAAACGATAAATTTACCTAAAGATACGCTGATTTAATTTTTACACGCTTAATGTCTTTGTTTGTAACAAACTGGTGTACGGGTCCATTAGAAGTCTATCATAAAGCAAAGATGCAAACGAAGTGATGATACTTCTGCAGTCATATTCAATTTGGTCTATGAGGTTAAGCAAAGAAAAGGACCTTAATGGAAAATATTATGCAGGTCCTTTGTATGGTAGATTTTTTTTAGATTTTTGATGATTAGCTAGCATTATACAAAAACAAGAGATTATAATTTTGAACGTTTATAATAAATTTATAACAAATAAAGATTAACAAGAGAACAAATTAAAAGGACAAGAAGTAGTTTCCAATGATTTAATTTGTTATCTATCAAATATCTAATTTCAATAAATAACTGTACCATTTAAAAAGAAATATTACTCTATAATTAATCAGATCTGCATTTCTTCCACTTTTTTTTTTACTTTTTCGCAACTCCACATACTATGTTGATTAAACTGCGGATATTAATGCGAGTTCACAGTTTTATGAGAATAATTTTGAAAAATTAAATTTCGATAGGAAATTACTTAATTTACTAAATACTGTAAGGCGTATAGCAATTTTGATATTTTATATGTTTCTGCATATTACGTGTATTGCGTGCAATTTCAAATTTCCCGTAAATGCGTAAAAATCCATAGTCTAGTGATGATTTTCGAAACTTATCTGGTCCTCGGATCTACAGAGACACACACGGGTGCACGTACACGTGGACAGATACAAAGTTGAGGAAGTGCAGCGCATGCTGCACCACCCGTGTGGCCCATATTCGCCACGTCGGCATCGGCGTCGGCGTCGGCGTCGGCGTCGGCGTCGGCGTCAGGGGCA